CACACACACACACACACACACACACACACTCACACACACACACAGATTCAGCTCAAGTCTTTTCCTTACTCTTACAATCATTTTAATCTTCTTCTCAAAGTCAGTCCGAGGTGATTCTAGGCTGTTCAAATATCTCAGATGCGACATTTATTTTGAAAGAGTACAGGAACAAACATCATTAAACCTCAGAGACTGGCCTCCTTCATCATTATCACAGTCTTATCTGGGGTCATTTTAATGAGACATGATAAATCATACAATGATGCAATGCAATGAAACACATGAGCTCACAGGAAATATTACGTGATTGGCTTAGTTGAGGAAGTTGGTAACGAAAGAATGAAAGGGGGAAAAAAACATTAGACTGGTTCCCCAAAATATATTATAGCTTTTTAAGCATGTTATTATAGTTCCCCACACATGCACATTTTCTCTGGTCCTGTAGTTACCTGTAGAAGACTTTGTGATTCCTCAGCCCATGGTTCTTCTCTATAAGGTCCAGGCTCCAGGGTGCTGTAGGACATGGGTTCCAGTCCAATCCCGGACATGTCCTTGTTCAGGTAGCACAGTGCATCACTATGGATTGAGGAAGATTCGCTGAGTACTGTGGCCACTCGCTTGAAGCCTGCACCATTAGGCCATGACTCTGCAAGACATTTATTTTGGAAATTAAACACAGCTGCAGATTATTCAACTAATTCTAACAGTTTGTGAACTGATATTGTTCACATATCAGTTTTATTTAATATGATTACTGAAGAAACAACAATGAGCTAGCTGTAATTTATGTATATGTAGAAAAATCTGTCTATTATGAAACACAAGTCTCATGTGTGTGATTTCATGTGAAGTCACACTCGCTTTGTGACTTGAGTAACCAGGTGCAGTGAGTTTCTGAAGTTACTGGCTTCCAGGTCTCGGGAAATTGCTGTTTCCCCTTCAAGACATAGTTCAACACATAATCTCTCCGTAAAACCCCAAACTGACCACAATTAAGATTAAACATGTTAACTGGCAAACTTCCTAAGAACTTAACAACAAATTTAGTTACATTTGAAGCAAACTAGACCAATTCTAGCTGTCTTAGGGTGAGAGGCAGGGTACAACCTGGACAGGTCGCCAGTCAGGCTGTGCGACCATTGTCCAATTGTTTCTGTCTGACTTGTGTTTTAATGCTAAGCTGCAGACTATTGTGGGACACACCTGCTGGTCTGTTCACTTAGCCAGGATCTGTGGATAGTAGATAATGGCTATCCAGTTCAAAACTAATCGTTTGTACAGTTTTTAAAGTTAGTGTCTACCATCACATGACAGCAGATGTGTTTGAAATGAAATCGCTCTTTTACTCTCCACCTGGACTGTTTACCTGCATGTAACCAAAGACTGCTCATACAAGCCCAGTCAATAAAACTGGGACGACAGGTGTAGTACAAACAGAAACTAGAAAGGTTCCAGTGCCTGAAAGCTTCTCCTTGGTCTACATATTTTGTACATTTACATACAGATACAGTATTCACAGCACTTCTTTTCTTCAACATTTTGTCATGTTACAGCCTTATTCTTGTATGGATTTCATTCATTTTTCACCTCAAAATTCTACACAAAATCCCCCATAATGACAAAGAGAAATTCTTGAAAATGTATTAAAAAAGCAAATACAAAAATATAACAGGTACACTCCAAACTGAGCATAGGTGCATCCTGTTTCCACTGATCATCTCTCTGATGTTTCTACAACTTGAGTCCACTTGTGTTAAGTTGATTGGACATGGCTTGGAAAGGGACACACCTGCCTATACAAGATTCAGTCATGTACAGTTCATGTCAAAGCACAAACCAAAAATCCAAGAAATTGCTTGTAGACCTCTAGACAGGATTGTATCGAGGCACAGATCAGGGCAAGGGTATGGAAAAATTCTCCTGTATTTAAGGTCCCAATGAGCACAGTCGGCTCCAACATCCATAAAGGGAAGAAGTGAGCGATCCAGAGTTCTAGTTTTACTCTGTGGAGAAAGGAGGATCTCCCAAAAGGACAATCATTTCTGCAGCACTCCACCAATCAGGCCCGTATGGTAGAGTGGCCAGAAGAAAGCCACGCCTTTGAAAAAGGTACATGACAGTATGCCTGGAGTTTGACAAAGCCCCCTGAAGGACTCTTAGACCATGGGAAACAGAATTCTCCGATCTGATAAAAAAAAAAAAAGGAATACCAAGCCTCATGTCAGGAGGAAACCAGCGCCACTCATCGCCTAGCCTAGCCAATACTTTCCCTAGAGTGAAGCATGGTGGTGGCAGTTTTATGCTGTGGGGATGTTTTTCAGCAGCTGGGAGGCTGGTTACGGTTGGGGAAAGATGGATGCAGCGATGTACAAAGACATCCTTGATGAAAACCTACTCCTGAGCACTCTGGACAGCCAAGATAAAGGAGTGGCTTTAAAATCATTCTGTGAATGTCCTTGACCAGTCAAGCCAGACCTGAGACTTGAACCTCTCTTGAGAAATGGCACCGACACTTCCTATCCTACCTGATGAGCTTGAAAGGTTCTGCAAAAAAAGAATGGGAGAGAATTCCCAAAAATAAGTGTGCCAAGCTTGTAGCATCCTAATGAAAAAGAGTCTGTAGTTACTATCAGAGGTGCTTCAACAAGGTGCTGAGCAAAGGATGTGAATACTTAGATGTTATATTTTTGTTTTTTGTTTTTGATAAATTTGCAAGAATTCCAAGCAAACTTATTTCATTTTGTCATTTTGGGATACTGTGTCTAGAAAATTCATTCATTCATTTTGGAATGAGGCTGGAACATGACAAAATGTGGAACAAGTGAAGTGCTGTGAATACTTTCTGGATGCACTGTATCTGTTTAAAAAGTTTAAAACATTCTAAACATTTGCTTGGTGTATATTAAATACATAAATAATTCTAGTATTTTCTCCTGTGAAATTCTAGCATCCTGTCCAGGTTGTACCCTGTCTTCTCACCCTGTGACAGTCGGGATAGGCTCCAGCACTCCAGTGACACTGAATTGGGTAAGCAGAAGAGAATGGAAGGTATCATCTCTAACTCTCAGTAAGGTCATTTATATCCCAGAACTGTTTTGTTCCACCATTCTTCACTATCTTAAGCTTTTGTTTACTGCATTTCTTCTCCATAATGCAACATAATATAAACTCAGCTTCAGAAAGTAAGGTGACCCACCAATAAACGTGCTGCCATCTGTCCTTTTGAAAATGGATATATACACTATTTTATCCCCAGGTCAGTGTGTCACACAGGTTTGGCAGTCTTGCGTTCAACATTTTCAGCCAGTTTTCTCTGTATTTGGAGCTGCAAATATGCAAAGTGGCCCGGTGGAGCTTTGTTTCCCACTGTGCAAATTGATGCATGTGTCAGTCAATCACAAAGTTTGTCTCAAAGCACTTTACAAAAGACAAGCCTACAAAGTGCCAACTTCTCAATTTGCCTCAGAGCACAAAGGACACATTGTAACACAAAGAAAAAAAAAATACAAGAAACAAAAAAAAATACTGTAAACGTGTAGACTTCATTTTTATCCTGCATTAAGGGCACGAAGGAAGAAAAAAACAGCAGGTTACTTGTTGCATAGCACTGAGTGCTGATTTTCCAAATGGTACCTCGGAGGGAGTTTGAGAGCATTAGTGACAAAAACGATATTTGTCCGCTTTTATCAGTGTGACCACTGTGCTGTCAGGAACTGAACAGATTGCCATTTTTTTGTAATAAGGTTACTCTCTGTGTGTGTGTATGGTTATTTTAGGGA